AGCTGTTTGAGGACTATGTTGATACCACACTCCATACAACTGTACAACAACTCACCCTTATGTAACAGATTGCCCCATGTCCTGTCATCATCATATCATCTTTGCACTTTTTTTCTTATGGGCTGTATATAGCCGAGATTATCATTACTTTACGTCTATATTTTATTTTGTTTCTACTTGTACAAGTACGTGTATATAAATATGACTTATTTGACACCAGTCTCTTACTATTGTTATTTTTTTTAGAATTTATTATTACCATTTATCTTTTGTTATTACAATATATTGTAATGTGTGAGTGTTACAACCCAGGCTGTTGGGTTGAGGGAAGTAACAAAAAAAAAAAAAAAAAAGTTAAATGGAATACATTTTTAAGTCTATTTTTAAATTATTTTTAAGCTATTATTTATTATCTGTGTTACCTTTTCCTGCTGTTCTGAAATTGTGCGTTGCAACACTGGAATTTCCCCACTGTGGGACTAATAAAGGCATATCTTATCTTATCTTAAATAAATAATGTTTAATTAACAGGGATGACAGGTAAATTAACAAAACAAACTAAAATATATACAGAAAATAACCTAAACTAAGAACAAAACAACAGAATTAACATACGAGTTTTGTGCCACAAAATGGGTCACGCAGGCTTACACAAAAACACACAAAATTAAAACACAAGTGCCCCAAAGTAAAACCACATAAACCCACAAACAGAATCGAGTAACAAAATTAAAAAAGGTACAAAACAGAACCAAACTACAGAACTAAACACACACAAACACAAAATGGTAAACCAGTCACCAAGGCCAGCAGCCCCGAACAGGTGCTGGCAATCTCCTTAAATAGGGGGCAGCGGCTGCAGGTGAGGTGGGCGTAGACATGCCCCACCAATCATGGGCCAGGACTCCCACAGCAGGAATCAGGACAGCTCAGCAAAATAATATAAAACACACAAAAATTAGAACTGAAGACCTGGTGCCGTAACAGTGAGTTACTGTGTTTGTCTAAGTCTAAGTACTTTTTTCAGTAATGGTCTAGATATAGTAATGGTTAGGAACATACCAGTTGCATTTTCTGGGAGAGAGCAAATTCAGTTTCAGTATTTTTTCATGTCTGTGTTTTTCCCAAAATCTATTTTAAGCTTGAGGCCTTGGCCTGTGTTTTGAGAGTGATTTACTATATATTTCTCTTTACCTGTCTCAGGTAAGATCACTCACATCTGTTTTGTCATCTCCACACTGAACCATCATCCAATTCTGACTCATGTATGAAGTCAGTTTGCTCTGAACTTCTGGAAATTCCCTCCAGTAGCAAAAGGGTTCGACAGGCTCCGACAAGCCCTGATTTCTCCTCTTATCTTCAATAGGGAAAGGGGAAATGGCTTTTTTTAGTTCAGAGGTATATGTTCAAGCCAATTTTTTTCTCAGTTATTAGTCAAATAATAAAATAATATACCAACTTTTCCCACCAGGCTCTTAATTCGTCCATCTCATGACTATCAATTAAAGCCACAGTTTGTATCTTCTTAGCTAAAGTAGACTACAATAAAAGCATGTTTTTTTGTTGTTGTTTTTTATTTATTATTATTTTGGTTGTATTGCACACAAAAAAATCTCTAAAATATACTCTAATTTATTTGGCCTCCTTCTTATTTCCATGGAAATGTTCCTTTGGCTTTAATCTTCCACAGTTTGCAGTAACACATGTCTGTGTCCATGGACAATCTTCCGTATAGTTTTAATTGAACTTAATTTATGTAGTATGTTTTTCTGTGATGAAAAGAGCAGCTTGAAGTGCCAGAAAGTGACATACTATGCCGTTAACAAAGTAAACAAGGACAGAAAAGTATTGAAACTTGGACTTTTTCAACAGCAGAAAAGGTCTACAAACCAGAGACAGAGAGCTTTATGTCTAAATGTAGATCTATAGCAGGAGAGGATTAAGGTGAATCCTGAAGCCTTTGATTTCACACCAAGCTTTGGGAAACTCAAAGACATGGGAAGCGGGTAGTCAGAGGTTTCCTGAGAACAGGATACTGCTGGAGTGCACTGCACCTTGTCCTTGTCTATTGTGTATTGTGAGACAGAGGAAGCTGTCTGTGGATGTGAGAGGAATCCAACACTATCGCTTACATTCCTCATCAGGGCTGCCCTATCAGATGACCTTGTGCTTTATTTTGTCACACTTGTTCCCACACTGTCCATCTCTGTCAAAGACCCCCCCCAGCACATTAGTTAGATTGGGCCCAGTTTAACCTAATTTCCAAATCTGACTTTTATGTGCATAACAGCATAAGAGATACAAAAGAGAGACATATAAAGCAAATCAAATATCTAAATGAACTGAACTTGTCACCTACATTTATCTAAAATATAAGGACATCTCTGTCTAGATAAAACTTTGTCACATTCATATTCCAGGAGTGACATCAACAGTTCTGGCCAATATAAAACCACAAGCTCAACAAGGCAGACCAAACCAGCCTCCCAAATGCAAGGCACATACAGTACTTATCAAAGTAATCAGTTATCATACAATGGAGAAAGCACACACAAGTCTTGCAATGGTAAAGATATATGACCTAGCCTCCAACATTCTAGTTCAAGGAACACTGTTGTGGAGTCATAACATTACTCTATATCACTATTGTCCACAGGTAATCATTTATCACTGTGGACTTGTCTCCTTATTTTGACTGTTCATATTTCTTGTATGATCACCATGACATTAACCCTCAACAGCACACATAGTTCATAGGAAAATTATAACTGATTTACTTGATAGAAATGTTAATAGCAATGACAAGAATAACATGACATAAATTTATTTAACCAGGGCTGTTCCATTTAAATTCAGTATCTCTTTGACAAAACGTTATATGATCCTAAAGTAGTTATACCTCATAAGCACACACTAATTTCTTTAAAAGTTATTCTTACAATGTCTGGTTTAAATTTTAACTCAGACTTTCCAATTCAGAAACTGGTAGTTTGACTCCACATTGTCTTGCTTGTGTCATGTTTCCACTAAAACCTCAAAAATACCAACAGAGACGTTGTGTCTTAATTTAAAAGGTGTCCTCGAGCAGTCACTGCACTGAGGCCTTTCCACGTAAACAAGGGAGATTTATTTATAAAATACACTGTCTGGGTTTGTGTAGACACTCAAGAATTTTTGTGGCCCACTATTTTAGATCTTGATCTATTGTAATGAGTTTCTGAATGTGTCTTCATTTTCAAAGGGGTTGGCCCTGCATTCTTCTGGAGGTTAAAGAGGAAACGTGTTACAATGAATGGCCAGGGGCAATGACCAGCCACAGCAACAGAGGAAGTCATGAGCTGGTGTTAAGTGACCAAGCAGACTTTAGAGAGGTAGGGCTTGGGTTCAGGACAGTGCGGATGTGACAGTGAAATGCAAACATGCTCCAATGTGGTGCTGACCAGCCGCCTGCGTGTGAGAGCCACCCCCAGAGACACAGTGTCTGCATGTTTTAACCAGGTCCTGTTTTAGGACACATCACAAACATGACGAGAATGTGGGTGTGCTCACTTAAGGAGAGACAATCAGGAAGATGACAGAGGACAAACCGCTGTGTGGTCAATACCAATTCACTGGGCCCTATAGATTTTTGGGTCTAATGAGATCATCAGCCCAAGGCAACTGGTCACGAAGCACAATAATCAATTACTGTAACCTGTTTGTTGCACTCATTTCTGGTGCTCTGAATAGCAATGAAAACACTACAAATTACACACGAGTATGCATTAATGATAACAGATTAGTTAAAGTATAACAACGCTATTCCATGCTATTCCAAAGTTATTCAGTACTGAGATACTCAGTATAGGCATGCTTTACAGTTTAAGAGAATAATAAATAGCTGGTCTTGTCTTTTGGCAAACACTTATCATGAAGGCTTGCTTTCCACCTTGAGGCAGGAGGATTATCTCTTCAAAGGAGCACTACTTAAATTGATGATTTACTCATGTATTACTGTCAAACATAGTATCATTTATTTGCATTGTCATAATGAACAATTTACTGCAGTCATAATACTTAAACCCTACTACGAGCAGGATCTCCTTTCACACCTATAGTTTAAAACTAAAAAAAGAGAGCTCAAACAATGCACATGGGACACCAGCAAATAAAAAGTTTAAGAATTTTTTTTGTTTGTTTTTTCTATTTACTATAATTTGACATAAATGTATTGCCCCAAGAGTTAGCACTCCTGCAACAAGGCTTTGAGCCAGTCAATTTTAAGCCAGATACAATTCCTGCGGGTGGCATCCCAAAGGCTCAGTTTTGCAGCTTGCAGTGTGTCACTGGATACAAAGCCTGGGTGTGTTAGAGCATAGACCTATACAGACTTCAGATTCCAGAGGACAGCTGCTGCGCACCACACCAGGACACATGCGCGTGGCATCCAGCGCATTCACTTCAACACACCATCAGTGACCTGCAGTAAATGTTCCCCTCAGTGCAGGGCACATACGGAAAAAATATCTTTATCTTTTTTATATTCTCTATCTTCTTTCAAAAAGAAAATATGATGCTATTACACACAAGATGGCTTAAAACGTTAAACATAAACATGGGAAAAGGCCCATGGTATTATACCCATCATAGGAGGCCGTATAAAAAAGAAAGGATATTTAGACTATTTAGACACTATGGTGTCCTGCAGGGTTTACCCAGCAAAAAATATGGGCCTGGTATTCCCTACGCATATGCCACAACCATTTCCAAGTTCATCCAAAGTCTCAATGGCAACGTGTTTCCCAGAATAGTTATCCCTTCTCTTTGAGTTACCTTATTATAGTTCTATTCTGCAACTGCAGTTTGCACTGGGATTACTCTTTAATAAATGTCAGGTTACCCATGGCAAAAAAAAGGTAAAAGTACAATTACGACTATTGCCTGAGCCACGGCCGCCTGCGCAGCGCCCCTCCCCCGGCCTCCCTCCCTCCCGTGTGGTTTTACGCTTTTGATCCCCGAGGGAGCTCGCGTTTTACATTCCTGGCATTCCGACCTCAGTCCCTCCTTGCCTCGGTTACTTATTATCGCCGCTCTTTCCCTCCACAGTCATTTCACAGCGAGGCAGGACCAAAGCACTACGTCTAATATGAGGCACGTTTAAGTTGGAACTACTCCGGAAAAACGACATTTTACTCAACTAAAAGGATATTACCATGATGAGCGCGTGAGCTGGTAAGAACAATGTTTTCCTTTTTATTCAAACACAGCATAACGACTTAAAAACGGAATTAAAGTGCCGTGAACGAGGCCATGTTGTTCGAATATACATGTAGTTTGACTCAAAAGTTAGTTTGATAGCTTTAAACAAGTTCTAGGACGCTCGTTGTTAAAAAGTTAATTCTTTTCTTACGCGGTTTGTGTGCTTTTGCTCCCCCGTGAGATAGGAATTTTTGGCGCATACATTTTTGCCTGCGATGGAAAATGTGTCCACATACCTGCACTGTCGCTGTTGGGAAGTGTTTTCTTGCCTGATTGCACATTAATTACAGAAATTGTTTATGAATTTGGAAGGCATCTCGATGGGCATACAACTTCCAGTCTATATTTTGATTTCTATGGCCGCAGTGTTTGTTCTTAAAGTGGCATGTAGGGCAATGTGTGTTTGTATTTATCAATGTCATATCACAGTAATACTAATTAACTTTCTCATTCTCACACAGGTTTACAGCAGATCTATTTGAGACTTTGGATCAGTCCCATAGATAGAAAAGAGAGCACTATGTCATCCACAGAGGAGCCTTCTGGCACAGTCCTGCACAGACTCATCCAGGAACAGCTCCGATATGGAAACCCCACAGACGCACGCACCTTACTGGCCATCCAGCAGCAGGCACTGCGCGGAGGCAGCGGCAGTGCACCGAGCAGTGGAGGAGATATGAGCCGAAGCCCCCGCTCATCTCTGGAGAGTCTGACCCTAGAGGAGCCCTCGTCCCCTCAGCTATCAGCCCGACAGGAGCCCCAGGGCCAGGAGCATCAAGGGGACTACCAGCACTCAGAGAGCACCTTCCAGCTTTTCCAGCACCATGGTGAACCCCTACCTACATATGACCAGGCAAAGGTCCATTCTCAGTACCTGGCCTCACACTGGGACCCCACAGGCCCAGTCATGCAGCTCCATGAGGGGGCCTTCCACGCAGAGGCAGACCATATGGACCTGAAGTGCAACCATGCTCGATCTCTGAGTGAGCAGCGTATGCAGATGTCTCTTGAAAGGATTGACACGGCCAAAGCAGAAGCACTCAAAAGCACTTCTCACAGCTACCCGGAGCTGCCTTACTACAGCCCACCAGGCCAGGACAAACGCTGCCCTCCTCCAGAGTACTCAAGTCCCATTCAGGGCCAAGGATTTATCCCTCACCAGTTCCAAGAGCCAGTGCAAAGGTACTACCAGGACCTACTCATTTTACACTACTTATGGCATCAGCAGAGAAATGTTAACAATCTGTGGAGCGTAGGAGTCAAGTTTGTTTCACACGCTATAACACCTCATGCCTTTAAAGTTAGTCACTCTACGTTTCTCCATGTGAACCAATCAAGTTTCCTTCTTGAAAATAGACTCAAGCAAAACAAGTCCAAGAATGTCTGCAATGCTTTGCTCATTGTAACAAGAGAGCTTAACATGCTGGCATTGTCTTGCTGATGAAACCATGTGTATTTCTGATGTAGGCTTTAAGTCAGCAAACATGAAGCCTTGCTAATGTGTCTCCTTTTATTTCTTTCTCTAGGTTTGAGCAGCCAGGTGATGTCCCTGGCTATGGCTCATTACACAGCCTGCCACCTGCTGGTTTGGAGGAGCCCAACCAAGTGGAGCTATTGCTGATGGAGAATGAGAGCTGAGACAGGAGCTAGAAGTCCACAGAGAGAAAGGAGGGCGTATTCAGAAGGTAAAAAGAACATCATTGTTACATCTACCAGCTTGACACATGTTTTACTGAATATTTACAACAGAAACACTTGATGTGTCTGTGTGTGTCTGTGTGTGTGCACTATAGTCTTTTTACCCACCTGTCAACATAACACAACCCCAGTGAGCAGTTGTCAGCTAATCCTGCACGCACTTGCCCATCTGGAAGGGCAGAGGACACCCGCAGCTGCCACATTTCATAGCATGGGTGACTGTTGCGCTGTTTACACACTGGACTTATTGTGGAGCTGACCCAGTGGCAGTCAAAATATGTGCTCCTTAGTTTCCATCTCAGTCATCACTTGTCACTCAGTAGTCATTTGGTGTCTCTTCTTCCCTAACTGCCTTTCACTATCACTACTAAACAGGGCTAAAACATGATGTCGTGCCTCCTTTTACAACAGTCATTTGACACCTTAAGCCAATCATTGTAAATCTTATTGCACTGTGCTGGAGTTATGTCACATGGTTACCCTGGTCTCAGCCTTAAAGAATGGTAATTGCTGAGGTTGGAAACTTTTCCCCGTCCGCCGCAGCCCTGAGTAAACATGCCTGTGTGACTGCTGTAATGGTGGGTGTCTCTTTGCAGTCTCCACAGCCCAGGCACAGGCATGTACACCTTCCGCGTGCTGGCAGCCTTCCCAGAATCCTTTTACACTGTGTGTGTGTGTGTGTGTGTATATGTGTGTGTGTGTGTGCTGTGAAGTTGTGTTGTGTACAAGCTTTTTTATGCACTCACACCTGGAACATGAGCTATCAGCCTCAGGAATGTAGATATAAATCAGTCACACAGGGAGTGGTGCAGACTAAAATTCCTTCTCCAAATTATACCACAAACATACTGTACATACTGGCTAAGTGTACTTTACAATCCCCTATATAAACATGTAGTCTGTGTTCTGTTAAAACATGAACCAAAACTCCTCCAAAGTTACTCCTTGGCAAATAAAGTAGGCTAACCAAAACTGTCCTCTTTCCACTTTTCTATTTCTGTATTCCTTGTCCTTCCCCCTTTCCTTTCACTTCCCAGTTGGAGCAGGAGATCCAGCGCATTTCTGAGGCCTATGAAACCCTAATGAAGGGCAGCACAAAGAGGGAAACTCTGGAGCAGACACTGAGGAGGAGGCTGGTGGCTGAGGTCAGAAGACTTCAGGATTTTAACAGAGACCTAAGAGGTATGAGCCTCTAAAGAACTCTCACTCACTACTGGTGTAAAAAAAAGTGGATGTGCTAACCAAGATCTAAATTTGTCACAGAAAACTTGGAAAATGCCAGATCGCATGTTGCAAAAGAAGCACAGGCCGCAGACCACAACCAGCACATCATGGCTAAACTCCTTGAACAAAGTGAGTATTGCGTGTTCCCTGCTTTCTTAACTATCCACATGTATGATTGGATTGTAGCAAAGTGAAGGAGGCTCATTTGTAGTTGAGGACTTCTACTTGGAGTAGGAATTCTACTTGCATAACCTCAGCTTGTTTGTAAGGAGGCTTAAACTGAAGAATTCAATCTAAATGGCCCCCTGAAAGGAACCATAAATTGACAGAGCAGCTATGAAAGTGGTCAAATTAGCTTCCCTACCTGTGATTCATATTGTCTGTGTTAAAAGTAGGGAAGCTGTGTTTATGTAGTCTTGATGAGGAATGCTGTGTGCTATGTGGGTCAAAGGGATAGGGCAGCTTTCACCGCCTTCCTCTTCTGTCTTCCTCTCAACATACCGAGAGTGCTTCACTTAATGAAGAACACTGGGCTCCATGTTGGGGGCTCTGGTACTTATTATCAGCTTCATAGAAAGGATCAGTTTCATGCTATGGTGGGAATTAGCTATAAACCACAGTTGCTGTAATAAATTCTTTTTGTCATAGATGAAGAGCAGAACAGTGAACGTGAGCGCATGGAACGGGAACTACAGCGTCTGAGGTCGACGGCAGAGGAGCAGACCCTGAAAGCAAAGCGCTTGGAGGATGCCCTGGAGACTGCGCTGGGGCGAGGGCGACAGTTGGAGGAGGAGCTCAGGCGGAAGCGGGCGTATGTGGAGAAGGTGGAGAGGCTGCAGAGTGCCCTGGCACAGCTGCAGTCCACCTGTGAGAAACGGGAAAGCCTCGAGATGAAGCTCAGGACGAGACTAGAGCAGGAGCTGCGCACCTTGAGGGCACAGCAGGTAAAGCAAAACCATACACAACATTATATAATATAAAGCCTTGCTGCGGAACATTTCAATCAATAAATGGAATGTAAAGTAAATAGTAAAGTAAATAGAAAGTTACGAGTTTGTACAGACCCAACTCATATCTTTTTTGGAGGCGCCATCTAGAATAGTTGTCTCCAAGAAGATATTGCAACTTTATTTTAAAAAAGACATTTTACTAATTATAAACTGCAATATTCTTCTGCTCTGTCTTATAATGGCAATATACAGTAATCTATTTTCAGTTATGGTATTTTTAATTTAAAAATGGCTATGTGACATTTATAAATCCTTTGTATACACCAGCTCTTGTAAATTATGGCTAAAAGTGATCAGTAGTTTTAATTCTTGTGCTTTTTTCTTACAGAGGCAGACACAGCCCCCAGGAACAACTATGAGCTCTCTCCAAGAACGTCTTCAGGAAAAGGAGGAGCGGATCTTAGCCCTGGAGGCAGACATGGTGCGCTGGGAACAGAAGTATTTAGAGGAAAGCACTATGAGGCAGTTTGCAATGGAGGTGGCTGCAACTGCTGCCGCTCAGAGGTAAGAAAGGAATTGACTTCTTTTGTGGCACCTTATAACATATACTTATTTTTCACCTAAATTAACCTGTAATTTACCATTGATTGCAGGGACACCACCATCATTAACCACTCACCCTGCCACTCCTCTAACAATAGTTTCAATGATGACCTACCGCCTGCAGACTACAGGAATCAAGAGATGGAAAACAGGTACAATCTAAATCTATATAGTTATGAAATTCTGCAACCAAGTGCTTTGCAGTTGTTAACTAAAATGCTGTCTTTTATCTTTTGTAGAATTCGGGCTCTTTATGCCCAGATTTTGGAAAAGGATGCTGTAATAAAAATCCTCAACCAGCGGTTACACCAGGACCAAAGGAAAAGGGAAGACAGTCCTGCAAATCTCTATAGTACCACAGGGGCACCTCTGAGACCAGCCTCCTCCACTCCTGTGATCTGCACTGGCATCAGCAGCACTAAGAGCAGAGGTGAGCTATATTATGTTGCCTTGTTTGAATCGTTTATGGTTGATGATACCAAAGCCATGGCCCACTGTGTGTTGCACATTACTGAGTTGGTCATATTTGTACTCACCATACCCTGTTACACTGCAACCTTGTCATCTCTGAGTTATTTATTTACACAGCCTTTTCAATTATGTCTTTCAGGGAAGAGTCTTTCAGACGATCAGACTTCTCCAAATAGACAATTCTCTGCACAATCTGAGCCGGGGACTCTGGAGCGACCGGTGACAGGAACTAAAGCCAAACTGGCTTCAAGTCTAACAAAGCTTAACACTGGTAAGAATATGATTATTTATTCTATGGTTTTCTCTCTAAGATGCATACACACAATAAACAATATGTACATAAGTGCATTTCAATTTATGTAGGCCCTTGTATGTGGCAGGTCAAGGTTTATTTTTTTGAGCCTTAATATACGTGTATGGTTAGATCAACTTTGTTATTGCATTTGAGCATGAATTTTTTGTTTCAATATTTTTATTTTGTCTTTATTTTTCAGAGAAGGCAGTGCCTAAAAAGTTGCTACTAAACCCATTCAAAGGCTTGGATGAATTGGAGACAGAGGCTGTGGAAATCTTTATTTAAATAATCTGGAAATGGGACACTGAGCAAGTGTCTGTGAATGACAAAAGAAAGTTTGAAAAAGGACAGATCTTTGGGCCAGAGCTGTGCTCTGACTCACCCTTGACCTCTGGCTGAGCAGCTGCTGGCAGTGTGCACAGCCACAGAGAGGAGACACATCTGAGGTACTTGGACAGTATTTTGGATTGTAATAGGACAACATGTTTTCTCAGAGTGAATGCCAAAATATTTATATTCTCTATAGTATATATGTGAAATGTTGCTGCTTTCCCCATCCTTAAATATTATTTCCCAACTGAAAAAAGCTAGATATTTATTGTGGTTTCTACATTTTCTAAAATATATAATATATGTGGCGCACAGACTTGCATTCCCCTCCTTGTCAAGTTATAATTCTCAGCAATCCCAATTCAGATCTGGAATCTATTCCCATCATTGATAACGTGATAACACTTATTGCTCCTGTAGTCTGTCATATTCCCTTAGCCTCTGTAGCTGGATCTACAGAGGTTTATGGCTCTGTGACCAGAAGGTGCCTAGTATATTATTAAACAAAAGTACTTCTTGACAAAATGTTTGCTTGTATGATAATATTGTGAAAGTAACGTGGCTGCTCTGCAGGTCAGAATGCCACTGGAGGGGGAGGAAAACTACTCTGTGTTTACTGTGAGCTTCTAAACTAACAGGTTAAGTTTATTAATATATTGTTATATATGTATTTTTACAGATATTTGTATTATTTTAGATATTGCAATGAGCTAAATGCCAAAGAGTTATGTTCTGACAATCACGGTCTTGTCTACCTGTATACAAGTGTTAATTCCATGTGACATTTCTGTGAACTTCAAACAATATGAAGGTTTTTACAGTTGAATGCAACATTTCATAAACAGTAAAATGTTAAAATATGCCTGTTATTATTATTATTTTTTTAGTTTAGTGTAATCATAAACATTGTGGTAAGTCACAGTATGATGAAGATTTCTTTCTTTGTTGTCCTGTGTGCTCTTGTTCCACCACTAAGGCGAGGGCTCTTCATTAATGAATACCAGAGCTGCATTCTTTTGGGTTCAACTTTCTCGAGTGGCCCGCTCTCTTGTTCTCCTCTTGCCATCGGGAGCGTGCTTGACATAGATCACATTCTCACAGGGACACGTAACCTTATATGTGACAAAGAAGTTTCTCCCAGATTAATCCGCCGCTAATACCTTTTCAAATTCCTGCTTGCTGCCGTACACCTTTTCTAAACAATCAACATTCTTAATACTTTGTTGAGCGTGACAACAACAACCAAACATGCCAGTACACAACATTTTTAATTTAGTCTATAATAACATAATAATATGTTGGTTATATTTTGGATTGACTGAATGAACCACACATGGCAAGATATAATTTAATTGTGGAGTGAGTTTATTTTAAAAATATACAAAATATGAATCAGTGATTGTGTTTTTATATATAAATTACAACTGATAATAAACAAAAACATTAATTGAATTAGTATTTGTTTGATTTAAAAATAATAATAATAAAATAAAGATTATTTTAAAAATTACCCAAGAGCTGATGTGATGGGAAAATGAGCAGGAAATGATGGTATGTGGTGCCATAAATCGTGTGAAGTTTGCTAGTCTTATATACTTACTGACAACATTGTGAAGTCTTTGCCAACATTCCTCTGAGGATGTGAAAGGCAGTGGACATGTTTGGACTCCACTCCTGTTTCCCAGAAATGAAATGAAGAAAGATGATAGGACATAAATGAAAGTCAAAGGTTAAATTCCTTAAAGTGAAGATATGTCCCCCATTACACTACCAAATATTTTGCTTGTTCTAACCAGCAGCCCCACTCCTTGACCCTCCTTTTTTTAAACATGTAGGCCTATCTATTAGTCTATCTATTTCCAAACATTTAAATGATCTACTTTAGGCCTACTTCTTGAACTTGGTAGATATTATACTAAACATATGATCAAAGAGTAAAATAAAGCCTAATAATGACTTAATACTTATAATTCTATAACTCCTCCCGCTCCTTACCAGATGATGGCGGTAATACACACAGACTACAACAGACTACATGTCCGATGGCTAAACAAGTAGTAATAGCGATGAGAAGACGCGCGCGCCAGATGTGAGGACAGTGAGAAGTACAGCTACAGTATGGAGAAGTCCCCATTTATGCCCCATTGGGATTTGTTTTGTTGAAGGAAGTACAAGAAACTGATCTCCAATGGAACAGATGCTGGTAAACATCGGACGGGCATTTTGGCGAGACTGCGCAGAAGCTGGAGCCATATCAGACGCGCATTTTGATGTTGTTGTACTCGTAAGTTTTAAATGGTCAACTAAAAAGTCTGTTGCTCACTACAGGTATTGCTTCTGTAGCAGCTTCCGAAATAAATTATGCACAAGTATCGAATCATAAATACATGCACTGATGTTGTCAGCAATGAGCATCCGACCAAAAGCGCACGAACGCGCGCACACAGGCAGGTGAACGAGCACTGCCGGAGAAATGCTCCTTAGAAATACAAATAATGACATATTTATATTCAAGTCAAGAAGTCAAGAATAATAAACAACCTCCCCTGCCAGGAATTACATAACGTTGCTTTGTGTCGTCAACAATGCAGTATAAACGCTATTTGGTTTGCTATGTGTTGCATTATAATACTCTTCTATTCTATTTCTATAGTTAAAGAATGCCAAAGAAAATCGCATTCTTGTGAGGCCTGTCTGCCAGCCTTCTGTTGTTTATTAAAGGTTTGTTTTATATCTTACAACTTTCATTAAACATCTGCCCAGGCTACAATGCAAAAGTCGTGACGCTCAGTCAGATAATGGATTTAGTGTTATTTTACTGATATATTTGGTTGCTTTTGTGTTCAGTAAGTTTTATGATATCTGTTTTCAAGTTTTGTTCCCCACAATGCTCACAAGGTACAGAGTGGGTTCAGGTTGGTGCCTTTCTGCACGTATAGTAGGCTATACAATCAAGTCTTTAAATTTCACTTCACTTTCTTTTTCGCTATCTCTTTCCTATCTTTGTCCTTTGAACTATTATAAACTTGACAACTGCACAGTGAGAAGTTCTGAGGCACGTGAAAAAAACACTTATTATTTTGCACACTGCTCACTGGACACATCACGGCTGAAAACATGTTCTTTGCACTTCTGCATGAATCCAGACTCTGCTCTGTGACCGACAGGAGTAGAGCTGTGTTTTGCTTTTTGCATGCTGAATGATTCTTTCATCAAATCTTTTACACAGTAATAAATAACATGTGCGTGCATGTTACAATAATAAATGTTTTGACACGTGCTTCTACATTTCAGATTCCAAATGTGGATAACTTATGCCCTCAGTACAGAAGCATTTCAAATGCTGAGCATGGCATAGAAGTTGCTCTTGAGGTAAGATTAGGACATTTTTTTGCTACTGCTCCATTTTTGCCCTCATAAAATTGTTGTTCTTCTTTAAAGTTTCACCAAATAGAAGATGATGTCAGTGAGCCAGAAGCACCCACTCAAAGCAGTGATGAAGATGATGTTTCAGAGTAGGAGGATGAAGGTAATAAAGGTGTGGCAAAGTCAGATGAGAAATGGCTTCCTCCGACACAAGGATCTGAAAGTGAAGAGGCAGAGGGGCCATACATGAAGCAGCTTTGCTCTGACTGTGGAGTCTTTCATTATAACAAAACAAACCACGTATGTGAGTTCAAAATTAAACTATATCTTTGTAATGTCTGTGGTAAGAGATGTGTCACTGAACATTCTCTTAAAGTATGCTGCAACATACACAGTGAAACATATGAACATTATTGTAAATATTGCTATACCACCTTTAAAACTAAACCGGACAAACTTGCACATAAAGAGATCCACTAGAATCAACCAAAACCATTCCAGTGTCCTGATTGCACAATGATATTTGCCTCAGCATACTATACATGTGACATATGTGGAATTGTTTTCCTAACAAGGAACAGTTTCCAGAGACATGAAATGACCCACACAGGAATGAAACCCCACAAGTGTTCAATATGTAAGAGAACTTTTACCCAGCAAAGTCACCTAAAGTCACACATGTGCATGCACACGGGAACAGCCTTATAAATGTCACCACTGTGACAAATCTTTTAACCACAATGTCAGTCTTAAGAGCCACACCCAGTGCTACCACCCACTGGAGTCTGGGGAAAAAACACGACAAGGGATTGTGATGATGTGACTGACACAAACGACATTGTTCAAAACCAGGACACGGAGAAGATTCAGAAGGCCAAAAAAAAAAAAGATACCCAAGTGTGAGCAAATGATCCTGGTCGAAATAATCTGATCTTTAATAACGGTACTGATAAAAGTAAAACAATACACCATAGTGTTGAAACAAACACATTATGTATAAAATGAAAAATGTATGAGTACAATAATATGAATAAAACACATGATGCTATAGGTGAATGTTATACTGAGATTGTTACACGTGTGAAATACCTAATAACACAGTTCATTAATTATTTTTGGAACTTAAATTCCTGTTGTCAGACGTGACTATGCCTAGAGCAGGGCAAAAAACACAAGAAAGCTATTTGGTTACCTAGTAAGTATGCATTATTGGTTAAGATGCTCCTCTAGATCTGAAGTTCCATAAAAATGAATTATTGATGATTCAAATTTATGTACTGGTTAAAATGGAACTAAACACTACATAAACCTTTTTGTTACTAAACTCTGTGTATGGTGTTTTAATATTGTCTACTAGTGCTTTTTGTCATTTTAATGTAAACTGGCTAAATAAACATGAAAATGAGTGCCTTGGCTCCAGTGGCCTGCGCACTTTTAAGTGCTTGGTGACATCACACAAGACTGATGACAGACAGGTATTTCTTATTCCAAACACCTGGCTGCAGGGGCGGAGTTTGAAGTGTGGACCCCTGTTAGACCAATCTGTGTTCCTTATGCCTCCAGACCCGCTCCTGTCTTCTCACTCTTTCTCAGTCTTTCGTCCACAGACACTGCTCAGTTCTCAACTCTGTTTGAAATGTGACTTGTTTAGTGTTTAGTCCCACTTCAGACTAATAACACATAAGTACTCTTCACCTAAAGAATGACAAATTCTTATTTGTCATTCGGTGCGGTGCGCCTTGTTTGTGGATTCTAATCCAATGGCGCCATCTGCAGGAAAACAGGCAAGTGATAAATCAGCCCGCAAGAAATGTTACAGATGACTTCTGGATGGGACCAAATCAAGACTTGGACCAAAACTAGGTCCTAAATCAGAGCTAAGCTTAAAGGTCCAATATTACGCAAAATGTACTCTTCTGAGCTCTAAGCCATGTTAGAATGTCGTTGCTTCTTCCAAAAGATATCTGGAGTTGTGCTTTGTTTCATTCACCTTGCATCATTGGACTGTTGGCTATCTACATCTCCAAGCGCTAAATGTTCTGGCGGTAGTTTTCAAGTTAACAACCACCTTTTATCTTTTGTAGAAATGGGCAATTCCAGGGCTGAAATGATCCAAATGTTTCTAGTGAAGGTCTTTGGAGTTTAAAAATACAGTGGTGCATTTCCTGTCCCACATGACATCACAAGGTGGAACTGTGTTTTCAGTTTGAGAGAGGAACTCAGCCTAAATATGCAAGATGTGTGTTAAAAGTGTGAATGAAACAACAACAAAACACAACTTCAGGTAGGCCTAGGTTTTTGATGAGCAAACGAGATTATAATATAGATGGGCTCTTTAAGATAGGACTAAATCGAGACTAAAACAACTAAACGAAGACTAAAAAGTAACTTAAAGAAGTAAAGCCTACACCTCTGAAGGCAACATTTTCTGTTAAACACAAGCATATAAAGACAGGGAACTGACCTCAAGGGTTTCAACAATGAAATCAGTGATGTATATAATTCCTTATTTATATCATTAGATGAAATGTTCTTTTTGCACAGTAATTTGAGTTGTAGCTACAGTACCTGGCAGTATGCACCAATAGACTGTGCCAGTATTAAATTTTCTTTGGCTGTTTTAAAGGGAATATATATTGCAGCAAGATAAAAACAGTGTCCTTAGGCCTACTTGGTTGCCAGGGTAACCTTAGGGTTATGCCATGCAAAAACTGAGACTACATCTGACACAAGTCCTCTTAAAGGTAAATATAAGCTAAGTAGGCTACATTAGACAAACTAAATAACATCTCAAGCAGGTGATGGAGACCACCACACGTTTCACAGTGCACCTTTAAAGTAATTACAAGAAATATAACAGGATAATGGTCCATTTGATAACAGTTATTGTTGCATCTCATTTATGGTATTGGATATTTGTAATTTCTGTAACTACCTAGTCTGAACAAAATAGGGTCAAAGTTCGTTGTCATTTTATTATTATTATTATTTTATTTATTTATTTTTGGCTGATGCAGTTACTTAAAGCAAAGACTAAAACTAGGTTTTTCATTAAGAGGCATGACACCTTTGTAGGAAAACACAGGTTCACTGAAGTTATGCAACATCCGTAGATCACATAGGGCTACTTGAACACAACAGAAGAAATGATAATGATAAAAGACCTGGAGAGAATTAATGTGTTACAAACATAGTCTACAACTAGTGAGATATCGCGAGAAGACAAGATTTTAGCGCCTTTTGAATGAGGAAGCCCCTGTCCGAGTAGTAGCCTCGGGTAGTAATCCAAATTAGAAAGCGAGAACGCGACCGAAGGGCGAAGGCACCGGTAAATCTAACCAGGATCGGCGTTCGTGGTCTCATTGAGACCGCCGTCATCTATGGACTCTAAATCAGACGCGGAGTTCGCCATTTTGGGGCTAGATCCGTAAGCAGTTTTTCTTTGCGTGTACTGTAGGCGTAGTAGGCCTATTCTCAGCGATATGTATGCACCATGCACCCACCTACACCAGAAAGTAGTACAGGTGTCACCCTCTAGTCATTTGGATTACCAATGTGTCATTGTTGTCATTGTTGGATCTGTAATAAGAACAGTTTAACCTGAATCTTATTCAATATCCAAACAACTTCACAGTGGCCAATAGCATAATAAAATAAAACATGGGAAAAGTCACATTCATCTGACTCCACGTTATTTTGAGTTGTAATCGTGGGTCTATAAAAGGAATAAGGTTGTAAGGTACAGAGCTTGGGTCTGTGGCTGGAAAGGAGCAGAGTTGTTTGCACTCATCAAATGGTCACTTTTTTTATATAGCATTTTTCTTATTCATTCATTTATTTATTTGCATTTGGCATTTTCCAGCTGTTTTATAAAGTTCCACACATTATAGGGAGCACACCAACGACAATGGCAATGTATGAAATTGAGCCTTACATCTTTGATCCGGACTCAGACTCTGAGTCTGAATTTGAGGAACCAACAAGACAACATGGAGCAGGCTGGGTGAGTTACATGTGATTTAAAAGCTGATCATTTATCATTCGTTCATTTAATTTAACTATGGTGTGTATAAGCCAAACCTAAAAAAAAAAAAAAACATGCACCAGGGATTACAGGTGGAAATTAGCTCTAGTACTACAACCTGGCACAATGCATCTCTCCTGTTAAGGTTAATTTATGTTGTGCACGGTTTCGCTCATAAAAATGATAATAATAAATAAATCAAAAGTAATAACAACTTAAAAAGTGTTGTCATTATACTAAAATTTCAAACTTGATTTTTAAACTATAAACAATAGACTTCATAGTCTATATGGACTATACGAAAATGATAATAAAACACTTGTTCTTTGGACAGTAGAATGTGATTTTTAACATTATCATCTGGCCTTATATCTGTGTTGTCCAGGTAGGTTCCTCAGTGGTCCATGGGCGTATACTAGTCAAGTAATATTAAAAATATTGAGTAAATGTTAAAGGGACAGTTCGGAATTTTGGATATAGGGCGTCATTTCCTAATGAGCCAGAGTGTTGTAGACGTGTGGAGACACTTTTGGAAATTATCCATCCAATCCTTGTATTTGCAGAGGTCGCTGGGGCTAGGCTAGCGCATGTCAACAGCCACTGTTGTTCTCCCACTGAAAACAGTCTTAGCCACTCTACAGTGCACCCGAGGCAAATCTATTATTACGCCAGACTGTCGATGTGAATGTCTGTGTCGGTAGAATAATTTTGGAAGTAAACTAACCTTGTATCGCATGAATCGTCGCATGTTGAGGGACTATTTTCTCAGCAGCAGCGGAATTTTACTCTCCTCTAGTTAGCTGTGATGTAAACATTCACTTCAAACTAGAGTCGCGAGAGACCTGTAGTAGCTAGTTCTACTATAGCTGGATCGATCAGTGGATTACAAGCCAACGACGTGGCAGCATGGTAAATCAGTGTGCATTTACCAATTGCAAAAATAAAGCCAAAAGATGGGCACCACAAAGTTTCCACCACTTTCCAGTAAGAGACCCCGGAAAAACGAAACTATGGCTTATAGCTGCTGGATTGGACATGGACACACCGATGGAGGCTCTGCGCAACCGGATGGTCTGTAGTGATCATTTCAGTCCAGACGACTTCACACAGTCCAAAATAAGGCCTTTTCTGAAAACGACTGCTGTGCCAGCCGTCTTTACAAGTGCACCAACAGCTTTCGACGAAGAACAGGTTTGTACTCAAGCTTGCTCCTCTCATGATGGTAGCGTCGAGTGATGATGACTTCAGCTTACAGTAGCTAAAGCTAGTGCCTCCTCACATCTACAGCACTCTGGCTCACTAGGAAATAAGGCCCTATGTCTATAATTCCAAACTGTCTGTTTAATTTTTGTCTTGTGAATGTGACTTTTTTTTTGTCTCGATTAGTATGCAATTTTTGATACTTTTGACAACATCAACCAATTTTAACATGATTTAGTAATTGTTTTGACTCACTTTTCTACATTTCAGGTCCAAAATGGTGATAAGTTCACTCACAGAATCATTTCAAACACTTCATATCTACCTGGAAGCATAGAGGTTACTTTTGAGGTAATACTTTTTTGTTTAATTCCAGTGTTGTTTGCTGTTTGTGCCACTGCTGTAATGTCTGTATGGTTTTTTTTAGCCTGACCAAACAGAGCAGAATATGAGTGAGCCAGAAGCTCCTGCTCAAAGTGATGGAGATGAAGATGATGTTTCGGAAGAAGAGGAGGAAGGGGACAAAGGTAACCAGAGCTCAGATGAGGACTGGCTTCCTCAGACTTTGACAGAAGAAGGAAGTGAAGAAGTGAGAAGAGATTCTTCCTCAGAGGAGGACTTTTCTGAAGGAGAGGAGCTCAATGAAGATCAGAAACCCACTCGTGAACCGAAAAAAAAGGAGCTCTGCACTGAGTGTGGTGCCTTTTATTGTACTCAAAAACATGTGTGTGAGCACAAAACTAAACCATATGTCTGTAATGTCTGTGGTAAGAGATGTGTGACTGAGCTATCTCTAAGATTACACAGCAACATACACAGTGAAACATATGAACATTATTGTAAATATTGCTATGCCACTTTTAAAACTAAACTGGACAAACTTGCACATGAAGAAATCCACCAGAATGAACCAAGGCCATACAGATGTCCTGATTGCACTGTAACATTTGCCAAAAACTCAGAACGCAGAAAGCACTTGAAGAAACATAGAGGTCAGAAGAAATATATATGTGACATATGTGGAATTGTATTCTTAGCAAGGGACAGTTTACAGAGACATGAAATGACCCATACAGGAATGAAACCCCACAAGTGTTCAATATGTAAGAGAACTTTTACCCAGCGAGGTCACCTGAAGTCACACATGCGTGTGCACACAGGGGAACAGCCTTATAAATGTCAGCACTGTGACAAATCTTTTAACCACAATATCAGTCTGAAGAGCCACACCCAGCGCTACCACCCACTGGAGTCTGGGGAAAAATACGACAAGAGTTGTGATGATGTGATTGACACAAACGACATTGTACAAAACCAGGACACAGAGAAGATTGAGAAGAAAGTGAAGCGATATTATGGACGGTATTCTTCTGGGCGACCTCTAGGCAGACCAAAAAAAAACTCAACTGTAAGCAGTGAATCATCTGAGCACTAACAATGGTACTGATAAAGTAAAACAATTAACATTATAGTTTTGGAACAAACACATGATATATAAAATGTAAATGTGGAGTATAGTAATGTGAATAAATAAATGCGATAGTATTTTGCACCTTACCTAAAAGCAATATTTCTTTTTTTTACTTAAATCCTTGTTGTCAGGGGTCACAATGGCCCATAACAGGACAGAAACACTTTTTTCTAGCTTTGTTGGACTCTTTGCTTTTTGTGCAATCAGCAAGCAGTTTATCAGAACTAACAGGGCAAGTGGTAAATTAGCCAGCAAGATGGGTCTCGTTCCCAAGTCAGATGAGAGCCCCCTTTCAGTGGGACTGGCTGTGAGGCAACATGATGCCCAAGCCACCTCAGCTGTCTTCTCTTGACTTGGAGCAGCAGAACTACTCCGAGCTCTTCCTATGTGATTGAGCTCCTCACCCTGTATTGTCCAGCTACCTGCAGCTGGCTAATTTCAGCAACTTCATCTTATCCTTTCAGTCAGAGCTCATGACCTTAGTTGAGCGTTAAACCAAGCCTGTTGAGCTGTAAATTAAGCCTCAGTTTCTTTACCAACAAAATTTAGACTAAGACAAACTTTATTGAACTTTATTGGAATTGGAAATTATTTGGGCACAGTAGCTCACACAGCACAATACATATAATAACCAAGAGCAAAAATATAAAACATACCCTACACGTGCAGATTCGGGAAGCCAAGTCTGCACTGACGCAGTTTCTCAAATTGAATATTTGTCTGAGCAGCAGGCTTTAGCAGATGTGGTGGGGGCATCTATGGGTGGGGAGCACATACTCTCTTGACTGCGCAGATGAGCCAGCCTGTAGATGGATGGAATTGGGAATGAGTGAAGGAGTGTCATCAACATCGATGACACAGCGATGATGCGAGTTGTACAGTGGGTGGCGGTAATACACCATTAAACTGCCACTCAAGAAGAAGAGGGAAAAGAAACAGAAGAAGTTAGAGGTTTTTGGAGGTTTTGTGCACGTGGTAAACCGTAAACAGATAAATATTTTTGGCTTGGGTGTATTGGATGTTTCTATTTTCATGTGGTTCTATAAAGAGCTCGCAAATTAAGAGAGATGCCGCATTTCCACAATGATATATAACCAAAGTCTTAATATTAAGTACTGCTTTTTAAACCTGAGCAGCAATACTTATGATTTGTTAGAGCAACAAACGTGTATTAGAGTATGTTGGGAGAAAATTAGGCATTATGCTACAGTAATAGCATCTCTCTGCTTCTATTTTTATTTGTTTACTTTTTCAAATCCCACTTGTAATGACATTACCAGTGAAAATGTTTTTCAACTCGAACAGTTCTTCCAATTAGATATTAATTCCGATTGCTTCTCTTTTTAGAGAGCCCACCATGTGTAAAGAGAGCCACCAAAGAAGTTAAATGTGAAAGTGCATTCCCCATTAAACCTGAGGTTGGTTCCTTTCGACATTGATGTGCAATTAAAGTGTTTATTAAAAGCTACCATTCATCCATTTATTTGATTTTGGACTGGATGTTTCTGTTTTCAGTTTGATGCTTCCATAAAGAAACTGACTGTGAGTTCCCCATTAAGACTAAGTTCGGTGCCTTCCCCCAATAATACACAAGTAAAATTTTTGTGTGTGTGTGTGTGTGTCTTATCTTTCCAAACATTATGGTAATGTAAAATGTATATATTTAATTCACTGCTATGTAGAGAAGATTACTAACTGTGCTATTGTGGAGTTGTTTTCTCTTCCTTTGAAGGGGAAGCATAGGACTGAATAGTTTACAAAACAATTGATGTTTTCTTGGTTTTCTATTGCATGCTGAATGATTTTTGTGATAGCAGATTTTTAACTCATAGTTACATGCTGTAAAATGATTATTATTTTTCTGACATTTCTGTCATGTGCTTGTACATTTCAAAATGGGGATAAGTTATACCCTCATAGAAGCATTTCAAAATTGTGCTTAGACTTAGTTTGTGTTTTTTCTCTCAAACCTGACCAAATAGAAGATTACATCAGTGAGCCAAAAGCACCTGCTCAAACCAATGAAGGTGATGTGTCAGAGGAAGACGAGAGAGCAGACGAAGGTGATACAAGTGAGGAATGGCTTCCTCAGAATGAAGAAGTGACACAAATCTTCCACCAAAGTGAAGATCAATAATAGAAGAGAGAAGAAAAATAAGGAGCAGCTCTGCATTGATGTGGAGCTTTATATTGTTCTCAGAACCACACGTGCGCACAAAAGTAAACCATATGTCTGTGGAAAGATATGTGTCTCTGAATGAGCTCTACAAGTACACAGCAAAACACAGAATGACATTTATGATCATTGTTGCAAGTATTGCAATGCCACTTTCAAAAGTACATTGGACAAACTTGCACATACAACCAAAACCATACCAATGTCCATTTGCATAAATAAGACACAAAGATCAAAATGTGTGGGGAAAATGTTTAAAGTATGATACATGTCAACCTTTATGAAATGTTGAGGTTTAAACAGCTATGAAATAATGCTGTATTGTTTTCATAATACTGTTCTGAGCAAACATTGCACAATGCATTTTGTTTTTATAGTAAATTCTCTTTGGGTGTTTTGGGTATTAAGTGACTATGCTTTGCAGCCCCTAACAGAAGGCTGACAGAGTACTACATCTGATGCAAGTCCTGTTAAATGTGAACAAAGTAACTTTAATTGGGTCTACCACAATAAGATTTCTTGTGCAGAATGCTTCTCAGTATAAAACTTTCTATGTAGAATCTATTAAATTCCAGGTGTTTTATAACTAATGCATACCAGTAGGAATAACATTCATTCTTCCTGTGAGCAGACTTGACTATCCACAGATCTGACCCTAGAGTTTACTGCTATACTGTGGAATTTTATAGGCAAAAGCAATAACATCTCAAGCAGGTGGTGGACTCTCCACTAAACTAATGAGTAAAAATACAGTTAGTAAAAGGATAAATATGCAATGGTCCGTTTGATAATGTATTTATAGTTGTCACATTAATGGAAATTAACTTTGTAAAACTTGTGCTTAGGGGTTTTATTTCAGTGTCATGGCATCATTTGCAAGAAAACATAGACTTAATGGTAAAACATGCATAGATCATATAGAGCTATTTGGACACAACAGCAGAAATTATAATACCGTAAAGGACCCAGAGAGAATAGACGTGTTACAAGAGTCTATGAAGCCTACAATACAGTCTGCGGGTTACAAGTAGTGAGTTATCGCGAGAGACTTGGTGCCTTTTGAATGAGGAAGCCCCTGTCAGACAGCCTCGGGTCTGTGCTGTAGTAGCCCAAATTAGAAAGAGAATGAGATCACCAAAGGACCAAGACACAGGTAAACCTAACCAGGATCGGGATTCGTGTTCTTGTAGAGACCTCCGCACTGGGGACGTCTATGGACTCTAAATCAGACGCGGAGTTCGCCATTTTGGGGCCAGATTCGTAAGTTGTTTTTTCCTCTTTTGTAGGTCTATTGTCAGCGGTATGCACACACCTACACCAGAAGATGCTCAGGTGCCAGCCTCCAATAGTCATAGTAGGCCTACCAATGCGTCATTACCATGGATCTATAATAAGGCCAGTCTACACTATATGGTCCAACACATATTCTACCTGGTTAAATATCCAACCAACTTATTAACCGTGGTGAACAGCACAGTAAAAATAATGTCAGGTAGTTTATTATCTATGTTCTAAAGCAGAGATCTTGCGTCTGTGGCTGAAACGGAGCTTGTCTTTTTTATCTTCTGTTGTGGTGAACTTAATTCAGCTATTATCCTTGTCAGCCAGAGCACTTTTCATTTCTTGCGGTATTTTTGTGTTATAGAGGAAGAAGTGGCTACTGCCTCTATTCTGTCGTTTATGTGTGTGTGTTTTTTTATTCTAAACAATAAAATAAACCCAAGGAGCAACATGATACGTCTAACAGCTTGAGTTGTATGTTGGGGGGTTAGTTGGAACTATTTATAATGTTGTATCATCAAAAACATAGACAACTAGAATTTAGTATTGTTTCATTCACACATACACACAAACCCTGCATGTTTAGGCTGAGTTCATCTTTCAAACACTTTGTTCCACCTTTTGCTGTCATGTGATAATACAGGAAGTGCTTCGCTGGATTTCTAAATTCCACACACCTTCACTAGAATCATTAGGATAAATTCGGCCATGGATTTGCCAGTGTGTAGTGGACTGAATTAGAGGTAAAAGGTAGCTAAGCTTAAAAACTACCATCACATGACATCACAAAGTGGAACAGCATTTCGAGCTTTGGATATGCAAATAAGGGTTACTTGTTTACATTACAACTTTTTTTTTTTTTTTTTTCCAGCTGTTTTATGAAGACCAGCTCTGCCCGTACTGGAACTGCCATTTCCCACACATTATAGGAAACACATTAACAACGCAACAATGGCAATGCGTGAAATTGAACCTTACATTTTTGATCCGGACTCAGAATCTGAGTCTGAGATTGAGGTGCACAAGGAATCAACGAGACAACATGGAGCAGACAGGGGCATTTACTGGGTGAGGGGTTTCTGCTTTATCTGCTGGCCTATAAGTCGACTATAAAACAAATTCATTTCAAACAACTTCAACATGCTGCAGTTATTGTTTTGACTTGTATATTTCTACATTTCAGGTCCAAAACGGTGATGAATTCTCTCCTCAGTACAGAACCATTTCAAGCACTTCACATCGCCCTGGAAGCATAGAGGTTACATTTGAGGTACTTTTTTGTTTACTTCCAATGTTTTGCCACTGCTATAATGTTTGTATGATTTTTTTAGCCTGACCAAACAGAGCAGAATATGAGTGAGCCAGAAGCACCTGCTCAAAGCTATGAAGATGAAGATGATGTTTCGGAAGAAGAGGAGGAAGGGGACAAAGGTAACCAGAGCTCAGATGAGGACTGGCTTCCTCAGACTTTGACAGAGGAAGGAAATGAAGACATGACAAGAGACACCTCTTCAGAGGATGACAGTTCTGAAGAAGCGGAGCTCGATGAAGATCAGAAGCCCACTCGTGAACCGAAAAAAAAGCAGCTCTGCACTGAGTGTGGTGCCTTTTATTGTACTCAAAAACACGTGTGTGAGCACAAAACTAAACCATATGTCTGTAATGTCTGTGGTAAGAGATGTGTGACTCAGCTATCTCTAAAATTACACAGCAACATACACAGTGAAACATATGAACATTATTGTAAATATTGCTATGCCACTTTTAAAACTAAACTGGACAAACTTGCACATGAGGAGATCCACCAGAATCAACCAAGGCCATACAAATGTCCTGATTGCACTGTAACATTTGCCAAAAATACAGAACGCAGAAAGCACATGAAAAAACACAAAGGTCCAGATGAATTTAAATGTGACATTTGTGGATTGGCAATTGGGAAAAAGCACAAACTACGACATATGATGATTCACACAGGAGCAAAACCATTCAAGTGCCCAACATGTGATCGGACTTTCAACCAATCAGGCAATCTGAAGTCACACATGCGCGTGCACACGGGAGAGCAGCCTTATAAATGTCAGTACTGTGACAAATCTTTTAACCACAATGTCAGTCTAAAGAGCCACCTTCAGCGCTACCACCCACTGGAGTCAGGGGAAAAAGACACTGACAGTAAGAGTTCTGACGGAGTAGCAGACAGTGTACAAAACCAGGACACTGAGCAGATGCAGCAGGTGAAGGTTAAGATAAGTGCTGCTGGTCGACCACTGGGGAGGCCTAAAAAAGCCCCAACTTCACATGGAGAAAGTTCCTGGTTAAGATGTGAACAAAATGACACTGGCTTTAAGGGTTTTGATGAAAGTCAGGACTTCAGAGATGATGATGGTCCCTCAACTGATTTCCAGAAAGGGAAGCAAGAGCAGACAGTGACAAAAATCAAACCAAAATCTACATCAGACAGTGACTCTGACTATGACCCAGAGAAGGAAGCATTTAGTTCTGGAAAACAAAGGGGACGATCAAGGAAAATATAGTTGTTGAATTTTATGTCTAATTCATTGTTTTAGTGACATGAACAATCACACAACAATGTAACAAGCTGCAGTTGCTGTGCTTTCTTTTTTTAATTAATGTATTTATTTTGATTAAAACCTGTAACAGTAGCAACACTATTAAATATGCTTACATAGGCTATTAAAGTGGTTGCCATACCCATGACAAGTAAATAGTGGCATGGATTCCTGTTGAAAGTGAGGATGTCTCAAGTCATCTCTATAATAAACTATCTCACTGGGCGTACTTTTGTGCAGTGGCTCTGTCTTTGTTCCTACCCCTTTAATTTTGGCCAGTGACTATCTCTTTGTTCTTCCCCCCCTTTAATTTTATTTTCAGAGGTGATGCTGAGTGAAGTCATGCCAACTTTTTGAATATGTCATGATCTTTTACTTTAAATGGTATATTAATTTATGTAAATAGAATTAGCTACTCTTAATGGTGCTTTCAAAATTTAAAGTTTACTTAGTCTAATGTCATTATGTAAGCATGAAAAAATGTTATAGCCTACTGCTTTTCAAATGGGCCGGCATTATAGCCAAAAATTTAGACATGTTGCACCCAAGTTATTTATGCTGTATTAATTTAAAGGAGTTCTAAATAATATAACTTTTCTATAGATTGTACAGTCCAATCTCCAATCTCATATTATGCACTAAACACAGCTGTTATTGTTTATAATTATTACATTAATGAGCAATATCTAAATGTAATGTCTAAACGTTCAAGTTTTCATTGCAATGCTCAGTGTCACCACTAGATGTCTCTATTGCGCTTTTGGAGACAGACTATTTCTTCAAAGGCAAACAAAACATGCGAATTCTGTTCTGTTGCCTGTTATTTCTCAACATACTTCAATTCAATCAACCCTTTGCGCTTTAACCCAGTTAAATTACGTATGCTCCACGTGGGACCAAATTGTTGTGGAAGTGTCAAGTAAGTGGACTCAATATTTCGGCTTCAAGTTTAAGTCCTCCTGTTTATTGAATTTAAAGACATTTTAAGCGTTTCCAAGTCTTAATACCACTTGCAGGAGGTCACTGTTGAGCTCCATACTATTTTTGCATTTTAAGCTATTTTTGTAGAAGGGATCTTTCATGTATTAAATTCCAGGAGTTTTAGTATTGTCCATAGAGAATAGAGTTTTAGACTCGCCTCAAAACTTACTCAGTTTCTCTTAATATGATCAATAGTACTTTTGTACATGCAAATCACAATGGTATGGATTGAAAAAAATGTAAAAAAGCTTTATTTGTCTCATGGAGAGGTATCTGACAATGCTGTAAGTTTGAAATATGGTAATTATGGCCTTGTCAAAGTCTGATCTCGTCATTTCAGAAGGCAAACAAGGCTGGGCCCGGTTAGTACTTGGATAGGAAACCACTAGGGATTCCAGGTGCCACAGTGCGCCAGTGGCAAAACTGTTGTTGTGTACGAAGTGAAAGCACTTCCCCCACATTACCCACTTCCCAGTATCAATGTTCTGTGTGTGTGTGTGTGTGTGTGTGTGTGTGTGTGTGTGTGTGTGTGGTGGTGGTTGGAAGGACCAATCGCGCAGACTGGCAAAGCTTCCATTAGTCTGCCCCAGGACAGCTATGGCTACATTAGTAATTTACCACCATGAATTAATAAAGTATGAAATAGTAAAGCGACTTTGAACGTCTGGGAAAATGCTATTTAAGACTATGCATCATTATTATTATTGTTTTTTGTTATTACTATTATTATTTAATGGAAAAAAGTAATTACTATATAGATACAAAGAGTCAAAACATTTTCTCTGGACTTGATTACATTAATATATAGAATACAGGTACAGAATGACTTCTGCCACAAGGGGACACTATTGGAACAAGTTTTTCTTGTTGTAAACCTCTATTGTCTGATGCCCCTATGTGTTTCCAATGAGACAGCAGAGACTTAAGCTGTTAAGATGCACATAAATTATACCATGATTTGAGCTCCTCTCCCTTGCTGAGCCGTCACTGCAGGGGCCGTGGATGACATGTTGGCAGGATCTGACATCTGCTTCCTGATCCTCTCCCATTACAATCACAAGAAACATACTGTAATCAGCCTCTTAAATGTTAATCACTCAGCCATTTCCGTGTGCACGTGAGGCGTGTGACAATAGGAGGGGAAGAAATGACAGAAGAGCAAGATATATTCTGCTTCATATATGCGCTGCCATATGTACCATTTCGAGTTGGTGTGTCTGAGCGAGTGCGCTATCCCTGCAGGAATGGTCTGCACACTGATCTGTTGCACCAGCTCAGCACCTCTTCTCACAAATCCTAACTGGCATTTCATTGTGTTTGTCACATTGAATTATTTAGTGGTCTATGAGCTGTTGACAGTTTTGTTACTAGGTGTGTTGTTAACTTAAAATACCAGACATTCAACTAATGCATTATTGAATAATGTGTCAAATTTGTTTAGCTAGGTCCATTTTAAAATTACTGCTGTTATTTCTGTCGCTTTCACTTGTTGTTCTTTGTATACTATAGGATGGTAGTAAAACATATGCACGCATATAGTTATTAAAAGTTTTTGAGGCCATACAACTGTGAGAATGTCAAATCTTGTTCGATCTCAGAAACTAAGTGGGGCTTGAGCCTTGTTAGTATTTAGATGGGAGACCTCTGGGAATACCTGGACACTGAACAGATGCCAGTGTATGAGTAAGAGTTCAACCCATGGCTACAATATGGTGTGCGTACTGTCTTGACCAAATAAACAAATAATAATTATACAAAAAATATGTAATAACTAAAATTATTGTATATACTTCAAAATTATGGAATTAATTATGCTTGTTATAATTGAAGTAATTTAATTAAAGTCATTTCTGTTTTGTATGGCAATGCAAGATTGTCTGACTATAAAACAAGTGTCCAGTTCAGGTCTTTTTTTTTTTTTTTTTTTTTTTTCCACAACCATTGCTCGCTTTTGCTGAATACATTATGATGTCTCTTCATGGTCTACTGTTGGCTTTTTCTCAGGCAAGCTCAACTCTGACCTGCCAGCTCTGTGGAGCTGTGGAGATGGAGTGGGGCATTATCATCACTGGAACAGCAGCTCTGTCATCCTAACACCACCATTCAACCAAGGACAAGGCGGACATCTTCCTTAGGGAACTTCATTCACTCATCATATAAAACAGGTATAAAAGCCATGATAGTGTTTGACAAGTGCTTTATAATGATGATCATTTGGCCTCTAAGACCTGGTTGATGTAACAGAGCATTCTTATGTACTTACTTACTCATATGGTTACAGCAAAGTAGCCTACTGTATACCACAGCTTATGAGAACTAAAACATGCATCCACACAGCATGGCCTCTGCATTGTCCATCAGCAACAAAGTCTCCTGTTTCGCTAGTTATTTTGTTCTTCATACTCATATATTGATATTTTGCAGTGACGCTGGGGGTGTTCTGTCTGTTTGTTTAAAGGTTGTATGGAGGATTTTTTTTGGTTTCAAATTGTCAATGATAGCATTATAGAGATGCAGTAGCCTTGTAATTATGATGACCAAAAAAAAGAGAATAAAAATTCATCAACTCTGGACGTGGTGGGGCCAGCTAAACATTTGCCAATAGATAACGACACTGCCTCGTTATCTGTGAGCTGACAGGCTGTCAATCAATCTCCCTACGTTTCTAGCGTAACTGACTTGCCTGAGCGCCGCCGGTACGTGGCTTACGTACGCCTGTCACGCAGTCCACAGACGCAAGCCGCACAGACGCTTTTACTCCACCAACGCAACAGTTCTTAGCGGCTTTTTTTGACCTATATCTTCCTCGCAGTTAGCACAAAGTTTGTTGCAATGGCAGACAAGAATCCAGGAGCAGTTAGCCGCAAAAGAAAGTTTTTTGAGATTGCTGAAAGAAGAAGACAAGGGGAAAAGCAGCGAAGCCAAACTAAGGTGATTCTTGAAGATTCATTCCAGCGATGGCGCAACTGAAGCAGACGCAGGGTCTAAAGACTGACGCATTGGTCGCCAAATTACTCCTGGACAGGTCACTTCTGCTTATTATGAAAACGTACTTTATTTCCAAGAGCTAGTCAAACATTTTTCAGGACACGAAAGCGATATCCTATGTCTGAAAACGTAATTTTCAATGCAAAGAAAGAGTCCGCTTGCTGCTGCGTGTTGTAGCTAGTTCATTCGCACTGAATCTCCGCGCAACCTTCTCTGCACCCCTTTCCTGCTCCTCTCCCCGCTGCCCGATCCGCTCTTCCCCTGCTCCTCACTTCTCCGGGCACGGAATCTCCGCGCACCGCTCCCCTCTCTCTCTCCTCTCTCCCTGCTCCGCTCTTCTCCCTGCTCCTTACTTTTCGTCCGCGCACGAAATGTCCACACACCGCTCCCCCTCCTCACTTCTCCGCCTTGCCTAACCAACACTGTAGTTAGTTGTTTACAAGTCATGTGCAGCGCACCGGCTGTAAACAAACCTGTTTCTGGCGTAACGAGGAGGCGGGAGGAGGCGTTTCTACGTAGGGAACTGTAGGGGAGGGGGGTTGGTTTCACGCATGCGCAACATTTGAAAAAGGACAAACAGTCGCTGGATTTCTCGTTCCTTGGAAAATCCTCTATACAACCTTTAAGACAAAAAGTTCTGTAGTAACCATGATGACGCAGTGCACACATTTGCAAACACTGTCAAAAAGGTTTTCATCCTGTTTAGGTCAGTGGTGGAGTTAGCAATTTGGAGGCCCTATGGGTGAAGCTCAGTTTGGGGCCCTCACTATAATGCACCGTTTTTTTTTTTAAATATATATTTATTGACTGTTTTTCCCCATTTTTCTTGAGACATGCACACCTCTATTTATTTGATTTATGGTGGATTGGAAACTTGTCTTATTAGTCAGGTAGCTTATTAGATAACGAGAAGTACTAACTGGAAGTATATTTATTATTAGTAGTAGTACAATTACCTTTTTGTTTACGTCCATTATATATAATTTTTTTTATTTTTTCTTATGATTATTATTATTATTGTTTAAAAGTAAGCTGCTCTCATTTAATGTCATTTTGAGAGAAAATCTAATTGCTCTGGGGCCTCGGCCATTAGTGTCACTGAGGGCAATTGGTTGGGGGCCCCTCCAGGTTTAGGGGCCCTAGGCAGCTGCCTTCTTTTGCCTAAAGATAGGGCAGCCTTTGGTTAAGGTATTAGAGTTTCAACAAAACGGAGAGAGTGACTAACTGAAAAACTGTCATCTAATGCTAGCTAGCTAGCTA